ATGTGATGGTATTATAAATGTTTACTATACGCATGTAAGTATTAATATTTTTTGTTCAAACGGGTTATTAACAAATCTAATGTTCATATATAACAATATATATGATAATATAATATAATATAATATAGTATAATATAATATAATATTATAATAATACATATTACATATCTATATTATATACATTATGTATATATATAATATTAATTAACAATCAACAGTCTATTATATATTAAACATACCTATATACACACTCAATAGTCAGCTTGATAATCGTACGTGAAACAGAATTTTTATTTTCATGCAATCAGATTCGATGCAACCACATCTTTGTTTTGGATAACGGCCAAATCGGAGAAACTAATAAACAAATTTGTAATCCAAAACTATTGATCTTCGATTTAAAAAATGATATGCTGGTTAAAACTATTTATATCCCACTTGATATTGCTACTAACAAAACGGGCTCTGGATTATTAGTAGATGTTTTTGTTTATGTTCCAAATGAGAAATGCACGCACTTTCTGGATAAAATGATTGTTAGTATGTTTTTTATTTTAATCACAGTAGTACATATTTGTATGCAAATGTTATTTAGTTACACGTTTAACATCCCTCATATTTTGCATACTTAAGCGTATTATAAACATATGAATACACACAGGTATTTATGGCTGATACAAAAGGTTACGGTATGGTGGTATATGACTCATCCAGAAAGCATATGTGCAGAGTCGAATCTGATTACATGAAGCCCACTAATACTACTTTCCTCGTAGACGGTGACATTGTTACTTATGTAGGCGGTATCTACAGTATGACAATTATGAGCGATGGCAAGTATTCGACTTTTAATATAATGAGTATTATTTCAATTGTAAAATTGAATCTTATCATCGCGGATATTAAAATTTTTACTTTTATATTAAACTGACATTTACATTATTTCCATCCGTAATTTTCTTTTTTTGTTTTATATTCATATATATTTATGCTGTGCGCGATAACAATCCATACACTTCGTTAATATCAAATATATAAAAGCATTTTGTTGTGATGTTTATAATCTTTGTTATATAAACATTTTAGAACTTTATTACGCTCCTGTATCGGGAAAAGAAATATATAAAATAAAAATAAAGACGCTAATGGAATGTCCAAATAAAGAAGAGGCTAATAAACAAACTAAACTCGTTAAAAAATTATCAAACCAAGCAGTAGGACTCTCATCATTATGTCATTATATATTTTACACTGATCTTTGGACAAATTCTATTCTAGGCACAAACACTTGTACGAAATCTGCTAACAACACGGTAAAACATCTAAATGCAATTATTCTCCACATATCACTAAAAAATAATTTTTAATTCTCTTAGGAATATAACTATGATATTAATAAAATATCATATTTAATGATTATTGGTATAATTTTATGGCTATAAAATAAAACTGTATCATAATTTTAAGGTGGTACTCGCGCAAGACGATGAAAAATTGCAATCTATATCTCAAATAGATATTTCAACTTATTGGGGTCAGCTAACAGGCCTATCAAATAGATTTCAGAAATACGCACTGCAGACATATAATCTAAGTGACATAAACTTCCGCTATTTTGAAATGGATTTAGATGAAATATTTAAGAAAATTGATTAATTAACTTTTTTCATATTTTAACATATTTTAATAAGTATCTTAATATCATTCAAAAATATTTTGATAAGTATTCTTAATATAATTCTTGCGTCAAGCACTTTGAACACACATACATGTGTATCATTCGGTTTAATTAATAAAGAAAAGTTAGAGTAAACAGATGTTTTTTTTGTCTGACTTTATATACCTACAAAGATAATAAATACTCTATTTTCTGTTCTTGATGCCTCCATTGATAAGATAATTTTTTATATGTGTGCAGAACAATATTATTCTGCACATGTAATAAGTGCATGTCATTATCTACAAAAGTTATACCAATGCCGATTTGGATAATCTTTAACAAGGCTACAATTATAATGAATGTTTTTGAAATCATTATCGTGTATATTGCATCGAAAAAAGGTATAACGATATAGTCGCGTTTACAATATTCATTTCTGGAGATACGGTTCAGTTATATTATTTTATTGTTGTAATTCAAAAAGATGAAACAGATCTAATAAAAAAGACGCACGCATCTTCAAAAATCTTGTTAATGCAATTTACTGCATTGCACAAGCAAATGCTATCTATTGAAAAAAAACTTTAACCACTTTTACTTTCACGCAATTTATATTATATATACCTACTTTCAAAAAAGTGTTAACTCTCTAAAACTTTTAGAGTGAATTATCTGAAGAGTGAAATTTTACTTTTGAAGATTAAAAATTAAGCCACTCTTTTTCAAGACTGGTTTAATTTTCACTCTTTAGAGTGAGATTCCACTGCAAAAAGTTTAGAAAGAAACACAAGAAAACACAAGAAATTCAATACCGCAAAACTCGCAAGACACATTAGGTCTTTATAACTGAACTAAGTATACTCGTTGTACCAAAAATAAAATATATTCCCAGAAAACAAGCTGATGTTTTTTATCGTTATTTGGACGTCAAAATAACATCTTCCGTGATATTTTGATAATGTCAATTAAATCAATTATTTTATTTCAATTTCTTGAGCAGAGTAAGGTAATAGATTTAAAACATGGCACGATAATTTTAAACATGGCACAATACTTAACGAAATAAAATTTGAATCTACTTTCCAAATATAAGTATATTTATATTGCGCACGTCTTATTACCAATTTTTTAGTTATTTTGAAATTTCAATTTGTTTCTACAAGGATTCGATAATAACTTCTTTTGTTGTTATTTCACTGTTCAAATTTAATTTTTTAATTTGATATCCTTTAATACCTTTCACATATGAGATTAGAATTATTAAACTTGAACTTCAAAAATTGGATTATTACATTTTCTTCAGAATTGTGCCCTGTTTAAAATTGTACTGTCTTACTCAATATATTTGATGTTTAGCGAAAATTTTCGTGTAATGCAGCTATAAAGAAAGAAGAACAGGTTTACTCATTTGCTATATTAAAAATAAGAAAGAAAAGCCAACAGAATAAAAACCAAATTGTAATCTTACATGAAAAATTGTAATGACTTTTCTTCGAAAATTTTAAAGAAAGAAATGAACACTGAAGAATTGTGTACTTAATAGTTAACGCTGCGCCTCGTAAAGTGAAATTCGCGGCAACTTATACAGATT